CATGCATCCAAAATGCACTGAGAGTGAAAATATGTACCAGAAAAAGATAGAAAAAGACCTTTAATAGCAACTTGAAAGATGCATATTTATGAAGAAAATCCATGCAAATAAAGTGTGTCAATCAGCCTACCTGTACCCACATTGACCAATTTTCAAATTTGGGAAAACAATTACAAAGCAAAGCAATAAAGTACTTTAATTTCATAAGTAGTGCATTATTCACCCAATGATTAACACTTTCACAGTGAAAGAAAGATGTTAAAGCCTAGAGTTATCACAGATTTTTGCAATGTAGAATGTCAACTAGCTAAATGCTTGTTATCAAATCTGATCATATGAAAGATTTATATTTTTGCAAACTACATTCAGCTACCAGCACAATTTTACACCTTTGCACAAATTTTTAAGGGCTATTAATATACTTGTCAGTTGGAAAAAGGACAAATAAGAGACTAGTAATCATCTATCTGAGGAGCCTAATCCAAATGGGTGTCTATAATACACTTCAAGATAGGCAATTTTACCCATTATCATGTAAGGTTTTATATCAAAACCTTAAAAAAAAAGCTTTCATAGCTGACAGATAAATTTCCTTTAGTATTCTAAATGCATGCAATTTCAGATGACACTGCAGATATATTAAAGCAAAACTTTAAAGATTTACAATAAGAAAGTGTACAAGATCAAAGTTGATAGAATCTTCCTTAAAAGTTTACCCAATGCCAGATATCATTAGTGTTTAATTACAATTAACTTTCTATAGAAGCAGCAGCCTCAAAAGTAGTGTGAAAAAGTCCTATCCTTAGGAAGTATACTTATGGTAAGGTGTGCACAATAAACAAGTGAAAACAATGTGGGCAAGGCAAAAAACTCAAAACATTTCTAAACAAAATAAAATATATTGGAGAGAAGCAAGAGAAAATGCCTTGCTCCCAACCTGCAGGACACTTGACTGATGTCATACAAGATAGTGATGCCTATGTTGAATATTTAGTGGAAAAAGCTCACCTTCGGAGCCATGCTCAGAGTAGATGCAGTATTTAAATTCCCCATATAATTTCAAAGCTATCTTAAAGATTAAAACTTTCTGTATAATGGCTACAATCATGCTTTTTTCTAATGGAAAATTGAGCCCCCCCCCCCCTTTTTCTTGTCCTTTTCTTTAAGGTCAAACTTTTATGATCACGTGCCAATTTGTGTAACCTAAGTTTTAACGAATAAAGGATGAATCATTACAATTAAGTTTCCTAAAGATAGCAAAGGCATATGAGACTAGTCTATTCGCATCAGTGAAAAACTTGTAATGCCATTTTCCGATTATCGAGATCTATCCCTATTTCATTAAAAATGGTAAGCAAATCAACAACGATATCAATGAAATAAAAGCCTTATATATTTATACAGGATATAAATGCTTTTTTTTTTCTTTTTTTGCACAAGATACTTTCTAGAAATGGACAGTTGCAAATACATGAACTCTTGCCTTAATTTTTCTTGTTATTATCTTCTTTAAATTGTACATGTGGAGAGTGGCGGTAAAAGCCAAGGAATACTATAATCTAATTTGACAGTTATTCAAGTACATAATGCTGCAGCTCCAAAATATTTTCCAAAATATAATGCAATTTCCTGTCCTTCAATTTCCAGATTCTCTGATCTGCTTAGTTCCCCCATCCAAGGATTCCATCAACTGTTAGACCCAGAATCTTCGGCCTAAGAAGAGGCTTCCACTGAACTTACCTATGAATGTAGTTTTCCCTGTTTGTAGGAAGGTCATAGTTAATGACAAGGGACACCTGCTGTACATCGATACCACGGGCCAATAAGTCAGTTGTGATCAGAACACGGGATGATCCAGAGCGGAACTCGCGCATGATGACGTCACGCTCCTTCTGGTCCATGTCACCGTGCTGAAGTTAAGCAAAAAGTAAATAGAATAATTTGTTACTTGTATTATAAAAGGAAAATATATCTACCAATTTGCCAGATAAATCCACCAATTCCAATACTAAATACCTAATTTTGTATGACATGACACTAAGCACAAGCCTCGACATTACAACTTGAACAACTACAATGTCCTCCTGCTTACCATAGCAGACACTGTGAAGTCACGCTGGTGCATTTTGTCGGTAAGCCAATCCACCTTCCTTCGGGTGTTACAGAAGATAACAGCTTGGGTGATGGTGAGAGTTTCGTACAGATCACACAGGGTCTCTAACTTCCAGTCTTCCTTCTCAACATTCACATAGAACTGCTTGATACCTGGAAAAATATGACAATTAGCCGAGTGTCATTGAAATAGATAATTGTCCATTGTAAGAGATCATTTTTTTGCAATTTGTACTATCATAAACAGAAAAATACTGAGAAACAACTTTTCATATAAATAAAGTATCCAAAACTCACTGCAATCACCAACTTTACAATAATTTATGATTTTTATTCTCACCAGTGTTATTTTTGCTTTGGGAAGCTCTACCAATTTATGACAAACAATCTTGAATGACAATGAATAACCTGACAGTATGAGATGTATTTGACATTTTATGCTGATGACCATTATCAATAATCATTATCAACAACATTCAGGTATTTCAAACATTTTAACCTTTTTTGTGAGGTTATTCATTCTCATCTAAATCTACATTAGGAGGTAATAACCAAAGACCATTATTTCAACAATTCTGCTATATCATGCTTATGAATTTCACTTGGCAATTTCCATCACCCTTAAATTCTCTTAACCAGTTTCATAGTCAGCACGTCTCAAATGTAATATACATTTCAAATTTTCTTTTATTAGATTACTTATGAAAAAGGAATGCATTTTTCATATTCAAAACTCAAGGGATTTGGTAAACCACCTCCGTAAGAAGAACCAAACTTGTGCATCAGGTACCTTCAAGGGTCAGCTCCTCCTTCTTGACCAAGATGGTGATTGGCTTTCGCATGAACTTGGTGGTTACATCCATGACATCAGCAGGCATGGTAGCAGAGAGCAACACAACCTGCACATCGTGGGGGAGGAACCGGAAGACATCGTAGATCTGGTCCTTGAAACCACGTGACAACATCTCATCAGCCTCATCAAGAACGAACATCTTGATGTCCTTCGGCTCTGGAATGATTTAACAATTACTTTTAGTAGAAAGATACAAAAAGAAAATAACAGAAAAAGAACTTCAGTAACAATCAGCCAATTGCCACCAGGAATTTGTAACATTCACTGTTGTATTGTTTTCATAAATAGATCTATATATAGAAGGCTCCACAAGTGCTCAATCACCTACAGTACTTCACCCGATTTTCCCCGTTCTTCAGGACTTTTTTGCTAATGATGTCAATACTGATATTACAGACAATTATAATATCATTGACATTTTAATCATTAGTGTTATTAATAGTACTGATATCAATAAAAATAAAAATAAAAAAATCAAGGAAATTAGGATAAACAAACAATACGTCAGACTACCGATTCTCCTTAACTAATCACTTATCCATCCATGTGTAAATATAATAAAATCAACTGTGGGCATGCCATGTGCTGAAATGCCATCCCTGGCAGAATTGGGTTAATGAGTAAGTACAATGTTAACTTGGACCTTTAAGCTTTTAGAAGCAAGGGAATATTTTGTCTGCCCGTTATTGTGAATGAAACACGGTTAATTAACTTTTAAATCTGTTACTGTTTGGCAATATTCCTCTAACTTTAATGCCCTACCTTCTACTACCCCTACACCCACTGTCTTAAATGTGTAAATCTTCCTACTTTCTCCCCTATATACCTAGGGTATCATTTTTTTGTTTTGCTACTCCACTGTTCAAAGACTCAAGACAATTTGAAGTGGCAGCATGAATATTTTCTGCTGGGGAAAATCAAGCTCTTTAAATCTTCTAGACTAAATTAATCCTTGATAAAGACAAAATTCATGGTTACTTGCAAGCAGGGGGAAAAAGCAGTTTAGGCAATTTAGGGTTTAATGGTTTACATGTTGTCTACAATAATTTTATCAAAGCAAAGTGCCAGATAAATTTTAATCAGACTTTATTCTAGCACCAATGCATGCTATGACCAGAATACAGGATCCAGATCACTCTCAATAGATGCTGTAAGAAAATTTCAAGCCTGTGAACTTTATAATTATTCTACTTACAAGGGGAAAGATTTATATCCACTTAACTATTTTTGGGTAGTTACAAAAAGTAATTCTAAGAGGATTTCTAAACAAATTCAGTTACTTCCTTTCACAGAAAAGACCATACAACCAGACTTACCTAAGACTCGGCGATTGATCATGTCATACACTCGGCCAGGGGTACCTACAATGATCTGTACACCCATCTCAAGGCGACGCATGTCCTCACGGAGATTTGTGCCACCAATACAGGCATGGCAAGATACATTCATGTAGTCGCCAAGAGCAAGCACCACCTTCTGAATCTGTAGGTATTCCACTCATATTAGACCACCAATGACAACACACTGCAACTAATATTTCAGACATGGAAGACTATATAGACATAATAACAGGCCTTTTGTTAGAATACCACACACCTTAGTTCCATGCTTACCTGCTGGGCCAATTCTCGGGTAGGGGCCAGGATGAGAGCCTGGGTTTCTTGGGATTTGGAGTCAATCCTCTGAAGGATTGCAATGGAGAAAGTAGCAGTTTTGCCAGTACCAGACTGAGCCTGGGCAATGGCATCGTGGCCCTTGATACAAGGCATAATGGCACGTTGCTGGATGGCTGAAGGTTTCTCAAAACCATAGGCATAGATACCTCTAAGTAGGGATTCATTGAGGTTCATGTCATCAAAGCTTGTAGCAACCTAGAGGGGGGAAAAAAGTTTTTAAATTTGTGGTCTCTTGATACAAGTATTTCTTTTCATATGCTGACCAGATAATGAAGTAATTCTAACAAGAAATTGATCAATCCCATAAGGAAATACTTGTGCTAGCCAAAAATAAAATACAATGAAAATTTGTGTGTGGACTCGATGATTCCATCAACATCCATACCGGCTGGGCCATCATAATCCTTATTATCATTGTTCCCACCACCACTGCTTCCACCAGTTCCCCACTCTTCATCCCTGGAAATAACGAATTAAGCGTCAGACATCAACAGAATATAATCTTCTGATAGTTTTCTAAACCATCTTAGGAAGATAACTGCAATCTAAAGGTATGAATACTTTGTAAAAATGGATTACCCCCTCCCCATTCTTTTATAGGGTTTGCAAGATATATCTGAATTCTTAACTTTCCACAAAGTTCTGATGCAAGTTATCCAGTTAACCTTCCAAGATAGCTCCAATGGTATATAATAATCAAAAACTGGTTAGAGAGTAAATAACAAATATTGAGATATGTAAAAAAAACTGACATGAATACAGAATAGGAAAACAATGCACAAGAGATATGGGGGTTAACACTGTCTGTACTAGGGCCATAAAATAATGTATAAAGGAAAATACACTAACTCATCGTAAAATTGTAAAATTTAAGTACATCTCAAAATAGAAAAATAAGCACACACAAAGTACAGAATAGTCAAATTTTAAAAACTATGTACTAGAAAATCCTTGTAAGCAAAGTTATATCTATTCCCCCTTTTCTCTCTCTTCTTTTTAATTTAAAGTTTGAAAATTTCAAACAAACACATCTAGTCCTACATGCATGAGAGCCTTACTCTATACTGTACTCCACACTACTATGCCCTTTAGCCCAAATAAAAATCTTGATGCCAAACAATTCTATATGATCATGCTCTAGATTTTCTGAATCTTTGTCAGGAAAGCAACTTAAGTACGAGATATTGCAATTTATACAATATATATCCAATTATGAATAGTTATATATAAAGCTGTGTAAAATATATTGATATACATATATACATACATATACATATACATATATATATATATATAATAATATGTATGTAAATACATATTTTCAGGATTAACTACAGTTAAAAAACAAGAAAATAAAAACACTCGAGCCACTCGATAAAAGCCAGTAAAAATTGTTAGTTTAGAACAAAATGAATAATTACCTTGAGTCCCCATCCCTGTAGAAAGGGGAAAACAATGTGTCAGATAATGAAAAAAATCCTTAAAGGTAACAATTAAAAACTTAATCTTAAAGAATATTTTTCAAAGTGTTTGGTGTTTCAGAATTTTTTTCTCTTCATATTGATGCAGAAAAAATATGTATCAACCAGGACAAAAAATTACATCAAGAGTATACACAGTATGTAGATAAATATGCACATTATATAAGACATCAAACAAGATTCATATATATATATATATATATATATATATATATATATATATATATATATATATATATATATATATATATATAAATATATAATATATATATATATATATATATTATATATATATATATGCATAGTACATAAAATACTATTTATCTTAAAGATAAATTTTCTTATGTTTAAAAGAAAATTACTAAATCAATGGTTAGAAAGTGAGAAAAGACCAAACTGGAATTATATACACACCTACAACAGACTGGCTATGAAGCAACTCAAGTATATAATAGATTTGAGTTCAAAAATAAATTAAAAAGATTGCTAGATACAGGATATTCCTAATAAATAAAAAATACATTGGAATATAACTCCCACAATAGTGAGATTATCAATTTGAAAGTATTATATATTGCAGATATAGAATGCAAGTAATCCTGTAGTGACCTTGAGTGCTTGTAGTCTTTACTCCTTGCTCAAGTATGAATCCAATCTATTTTTAGACACTCAAGTATGTAAAATATTAACAGAATGAAGTCACTACATTCTTTAGGCATCCTCTGAATCCTAGCTTCTCATTAAATACAAATATTGAAAATCTTTAGCAATGACCCATTTTATTAATTTCTTAATTATTGCTCCATTAGACACCATTTCTATTATTACAAAATGGTGGGGGGGGGGGGGAGATTCTAAAGCATATATGAGCATATATGAAAAGAGCCCGAACAGCTTTCATGAACACAAATCCTTCAATACATTTATAATCATTAATATAGGCATAATTAGACAGGTTAAGGAAGAAGCAATGTTATTGGGTCTATCATACCTGATGTCAAATGTTATAATCCTTTTGTTACATGGATACCCTTCATAACTCAGATCAGGCAATAACACTGACAGGTTGCTAAATAAAAAGGTTTAGTAAAATTTAGTTCTTCGCCATGTTAAATTGAAATATAGTCTGGTTGACTACTGCATTTATGATTCTTAGTAAATCAACTTAAGACTGCTATTACTAAAGCATTGCTGTGCACTATCACTTTTATGGTGTCTATAAAATTCCACTTCATGCAACAAAAATAGAAAAAAAAAAAAATGTTAAGTCATTCCCAAGTCTCATTCCCACCACACACAAATTAACAAATGATATGGAAGATCTTCAAAATAGGAAGTGTATCTAGACTCACACTGGGTGTATGTTTTGTGCAAGCTGTGGCTAAACCAGATCTGTGCTAAATAGTTACCAAGAATCACAGATCAAAGGCCATGAAGCAAAAAAAAAAACAAACTAATTCCCTATTTGTTTTTCTATGAATTTAAGCAGATCATTATATCTCAGCAATATTAACAGGAATATAACCTTTGGCTACAAGGTCACTGGTGCATCTGTAATAGACAGGTTTGAAATGCACTTTCACTGCCAACAATTTCCCAAGAATCATAGAAAATCCCAAGCTTCATGAATTCTAGGCAAAGATCTAAGGTAAATACTTTCAAGATATCCACAGTGCCCCAGGAAAGGATATCTCTTCTTGTGATCAGATTTTTTTTGTTTCTTGTTTAATTTAATAATCAAACAGCTTTGTACAAACTTAATGGATACACCAGCAATGCCTCAAGTGATCACTGTATCCCAAGCTATTTTCCTCTGGTAAAGGCCATCAAATCATCTTCATTTATATCTACATAAAAGCAGGAGCTTGTAAGCCTCTTTGGTGACATGGTCAAATTACAAAGTTAATGTGCTCTTCTTGCCAGGATATACAAAACAGAATTGCAGGTCTTTGTCAGAGCTCTAAAGCTGTGCAGGTCAGGGCAATTACATAATTTATTGTTGGTGTATTAGTAAACTATCAAATGAAATAATTTGTACATGACATCTAATCTGAATACAGTTTAATACTCTGAATATCAATCACCTAAGAAACATCACCAAATCGTGATTTTATGCTTTTACTCGACAACCATTAGAAATCAAGTCTTCAAATATATTTTCAAAACTAACACTGCAAGAAAATCAATGTTACTAATGGTAAGGATTTAATCATGCAAGAAAAAAAACAATTACTATATACTATTTCAGTAGAAAATTATCATTGTATTAGTAATATCACTACATTTCCATATAAAACAAATGCAAGAAATAAATTATATATTCTAGGATTGTATCAAGAAAAAATCAAGCCAAACGATATCTACTTAATATACACTTTAATGTTTGGGCCCTCTTTACCTGATTTCTTCATCCCTGTAGGGAAGAAAAAATGTTTTAGAAAAGTCTCCTTAAAAAGTCATGTATCAACGTTCCACTTACAAATACAAAAATACAAAAACAAAATTAAAAGGTATAAAAGTAACTATACATAAAGAAACAAGTTGTAATACTTTTGATTTTGTGACTGCAAACATTGGTTATCTTCCAGCATGCAAGGACAGTTCACCATTAGAGGATAAAATATAAAAATCTACATTTACATTCTTAAAAATACATCTAAATAGTACAGGTTACATGTACAGCTGTCATACATTTAAAAAATAATCTAGCAGTCACACAAGGGGATATGCATGTCATTTAATATATTGGCTCTGCAATATAATGGATAAATGTACACAAGCTACAGTCCCTTTCCTTTACAGATAAAACCTGGGACTTGCATCTGAAGTTAAGAGCCAAGTTTGAATTTAAAAAAGTATATCCTCAACCATACAGAAAGATATTCAAAATCTAGAGTCATGGTCCTCCATCTTACCACAGATACTCACTAGTATAATCTACAATACAAAATGAAGCTGGTTATGACAGTGATGAATAAAAAATAAGGTCTACCATGAAAGTCCCATTGGCTACAACACCCTTACATTTGTATTTACTTCCAAAAGATAAAATGCATACCATCAACAGATTTGCTAAAGACCAATTTTTAGGTCTAAATTTCTGAATATACCATCAAAGAGCAATGAAGGCCATCCATTCAAACCCTTTAAGAATCAAAACAAACTAGTATCCTTACTTCAACTTACTTATTATGTAGTTTTTTATAATCATCAGTAATGATATATCAATTGGTAATAAATTTTTCTAAAGAAAATTCTAAGAATAGGGCATGTACAAGGTAACATAAGCTAAGTAATTGACTTATGGTAAGTGCTATGAGAAGCATGTATAACCATAATTAAAGAAAACTACAGGACATTAAATGCATACTTTTCAATCACTGCTTCATCAATGATTCCTAAAGGTGAAGGTAAAAAAAAATTGTAACATTTGCAAACTTTTCCCTAGGTTGATGGATAAGACAATCAGAAACATGAGCTGCCAATACTAAATTTGTGACATTTTACACAAGATATCTACATTAAAAATGATATGGGATGAAGCACATTCCAATAATAGCCGAGACACCAACAGACCAACCATAACCTGCCACCCTCTTGTAACAGAGGGAAAGTCAATGAAATGAAACAAACTAAACAGAAAATGAGAAAATAAGTATGATCTAAGAGGAAACAGAAAATAGCATCGTCTATAAAATCAATATGCTAAAGGTAAGCCCATATTGTTCATCAAAGTACAAGGATCTACAGACCAAGTGATTGCATAACCTTTGCAGTACAATCCAGCCCAGGTCAACAAACTTTCATGTATATTCTATTCAGATTGAGCTTGTAGACCTTCCTTGCACTAACAACAAATACAACGCTAATCCATGCTCCACCTTTCCAAAAATAAGAGTGAATGCTACAGATTATCACTAGCCCTAAAAGTGTGGAGATAATGGCAAAGCTTGATATAATGAAAGATTCTAGAAATATGAAATTTGAAATAATGTGTTTTAATTTATCTTTCCATGTGAGACTGAAAAGGCAGAAACAGGAATTTACACCAAATGTGCACGTAGCAATGTATTTTAGAAAACTATAAGGCTATAATCACTATGGGCCAAAGTGGAAAGCTGTTCACAGTTCCCAATGATGCATGACTAGCTTCATGCCACATCAGAAAGGAAGTTTTTTTTCCTCTGTATATTTCCTGTCACCTATGTGCCAAGTGATGAGATACAGGAGGCACATTTTTTTGCTTCTCCAAACATTAACTTCATTCTCAATTCTGGTACTAAAGGACAACTAGGGGATTGAAAAAAAAATATATAATACATATATATATATATATTATATATATATACATACATATACATGGTCTTGAAAATAAGTTCATTCTTTACAATAGAGACACTCAAAGACTAAGCATTTTTTTTTTCTTTTTCGAACAATTCAAGTTGACCTGACTGGGCATGCAGTCAGGGTGGGTTGATGGAGGGTTCTGCCCCCTAACACCTCCGTCAAAGATCGTCTTCATATCAGTATGCACAGCAAGAGCTAAAACTTGGGAGCACCAAGTGAACCTAGACTATGAAAGGTACTTTCCACTATCTTTTTCCTTTATTTGTGGCATTACTATTCTTGACTGCAAATTATTTATTGTACCAATGACTGCAACATTTTGTCCTCTAAGAATAATGACAAGTTTGCCTAACCTTAGTGTATGCATACCATACAGACTAACCAACAATACCAATCTTGCCTACTCCAACTTACACTTACACCCAATGCCCTACAACAAACCAGCCCTTCGGCCCTGCCAGCTCCTTACAAATACTACAACGAACAAGTTGAGAGCATCTGGTCTTACTCATGTTTTCTGAATTGTAATTCATAATTTATTATCAATTTCTTAAGCGAGTTGCACCAGTTTGTGGATCTGACTTGAATAGCAGGAATCTGTTTTTGGACCACCAAAAATAATCGCAAAGCTTCACATTACAAGGACCTCGCAGAAAAGCACCAACTTTCCAGTCCAATGAGTTGCAAGCTTAACCCACTAATGACGGGTGTCCCACATATTAGACATCCGAAAAAATAAATGTCGCTGGGCCAGTGTGATGCTGTATCCGGGCTCGCACTCCAATGCAGCAGTGGGCTGCAGCCAGCGGGCGTACAGAGTGCGGGGCAGCTCCGCCCGCCAATTTTGTACCCGCCCGGAATCTTTTATTTTCGGCTTCAAAAAATACTGGCATTAATGGGTTAAGGATATATTGGCCTGCCTCTCCTTCAAAGTAAAAATTAATGAAGGTTTCAGAGGATTCAAGGGAAATACAAGAAGCATTTTATGATAACTGACACTACCAAACAACTCGATGCAGAAAACAGCCTCTGAGGAACTGAAAATGGACTCCGTCTCATTTTCTGAATGTATGCCATGCATACCACAGTGAAGACAAGATTTCTCTGCTCCCCATTAACCCTCCCCTTGTACAGTGCCCAAAGGGCACACCCTGTCACAGCAATTTAGACTGATGAATAATTATTTTTAATGTGGAGTAGGGACTTAGTCTCTGGAAAGTGCGGCCATACTGTAAAGAACTACCAGTTAATCTTTACGGTATGCATGTAGTCGTCCTTACAGGATATAAATCAGGGACATAAAAGGCAATGCCAGTACAGGATATAATCAGACATGTAAAGCAGCACCATTCACGTCAGCAAAATGATCATGAAAAGCACCACTCATAACTAAGTCCACTCTGTTCTCCCATGGGGGTAAAAACTAATGCATTGGCCATAGAGCACAAAACCATTAAACAAATTTTCTGAAGTAAAAGTAGAGCCATAACCTCTCATTAAAATCCACAAACTCCTCTTCATAAGATAACATGTTGTGAACTCAATGCTGTATATTCTATTATCAAACTTCCCTTGGTACTGATCAATGAAGGAAGAAAATAAGGGGGGGTAGGTTATGGGGGAGAGAAGAAGAAAAAAAAAAAAAAAAATGCCCATTCTATCTCCTTGAATGTGTAGATGGTTTGTTTGCCTTTGCCGACATGCAAAGCATAGACTATGGCGATAATTCCTTTAGGTCCCATTCAGAACTTTACCTTTCACTACACAGCAAATCGTACAATTCAAACCACTAAAATGCTCATTACTCAACATGTTGTACCTGATCAGCAAATGATGCAATACACTCCTAGCTCCACACCTTTCCTACTTTTACCTAACACACTAATTAAATACAATCCACCAGCCATTGCATAAAATTTTAAATATTCTCTCAAAAAGTAAAAAAAATAAAGACAAATCTGTGCATCAAAACACTTTCCGACCCAATTGGCATTACACTGAACATTCTCCGGAGACATCCTCTGGAAGAAAAGTTGGCTAGCCAACATTCCTCGAATTCAAACCAATCATACTACTCAGCCGTCAGTATCCTAGATCCTCGACCTAAACCCAACCTCGCAAAAAATACTACCAATCCCACCAGAACGGGAATCCCCAAACTACCTTCGGAAACTTCCCCGCAACAAAGAAAAAAAAAGAAAGAGCACAAACCAAAATTGAATCTTGGCGAGAAAAAGGACTACACGACCCACAAAAACCCCACCTCCAAACTCCACTCGGGGAGGGAAAAAACCCAACCTCTCCTTGGCTATTGCATCACAGGTGGCCCGTCCTATCCCCCCCCCCCATTGATAAAAATTTCCCACCACCTTCATTCACAATGGCCGATTTCCCACTCCCTTCTGACACGTGGACGAAATCATGAGTAAATTGACAGATTTTGATGTGCCAAACTCTCTTTTTTCCTTTTCATGCGGCAAAAATGCTTTCGTAATTTCATGCCAAACTTTGGGGGATATAAATCAAAAAGATTGAAATCACTTTATGAAATCGTGGGTTTGGATGGGGAAATGTACATCGAAAGCACTATATCGCGTAAGAAATGGAATGGGAAGGAAATTTATTAATATATTAAAATACAATATCCAATACACGCTTCTGTCACTCGAGGGTATTTAATAATTTTTAACTCAATTAAGTACTTTTTCACTCCAAAAACAGGTCTCGTAAGAATCGAACTAAATAACCGCACTAAATTCACCTTCACGGTTCCTCGACCTTTAAAAACCGGCATTAAATTAAAATAAATAAGAAGTCCAGCTGATCGCCCTATCTCCGGCCGCCATTACACGACCCAAACCCTCAGTCTCCACTTTTAAATCTCTTTTTGCGTCTAAATCCCCAGTCGGAGGCTCATTTTATCTCCCTAGCAATAACGATTCACATCTCTTCTCTCACTTCCACTCACGAAAAAGCCTCGAAAGGCCAGAAAATAGCCGGAAATCACTCACTTTTGATGATCGTATTTGTCGGACATCTTGCTTGTTACAGAGACTCCCTTCAAAGGACCGTAAATATGTAGACCACATGAGAGTATTGCTACGCC